AAGTAGGCGGTGGGGGGAGGCGTGGGGAAGCGGCGTCGCCACCGATTTCCACCGTTCTTCTTCTTCTCCTCAACGCCGTTCCGCTTCCCCGCTCCTCCACCTCCATACGTGTTGCTCCCTCCCCTCATCTCGCTCCTCCACCACAACCACCACCACCACCACCACCACCACCACCACCACCTTTCCCTTCCCATCTTGGGAAAGATCTCTCCCCCGTCACCCTCCCCGCCGCTTCCTTTTTCTTCCCACCCCCCCTCTCTCTCTCTCTCTCTCTCTTTCGAATTCTCTCGGTCAAAGCCTGTAAGCCAGGATGTGTGGGATTCTTGCCGTTCTCGGTTTCTCCGGCGACTCTCAGGCCAAACGGGTTCGAGTGCTCGAGCTCTCTCGCAGGCAAATTCCTCCTTCCCTTCCTTCCTTCCTTTCACTTTCTTTTTGTCTTGTTTCCTTATTCGCACGTCACATCAGCAAATGCACGTCGGACTTTCGCTTCTTCTTTTTTGTCCCTTCTCCCGAAATCTCGCCTTTAAAACTCGGAGGAAAAGACCGACCGGTTCGCGTCGCGATCCGAATCTGTCCTTTTCATGTCGCACGGCGAGGACGGGCGAGGGTCCTGCGGTCAACGGGAGGATTTGTGGTTCCGATCAAATGCTTCGAGGGCGGCGGTGGGACATGATGCTGTACGAGCGCATCGGGTAGTGCGAGTCCTTTAATCTTGGTGATCGTGATACGGCGTGAACTCGATGGAACGAAGAGAATATTTCAGTCAATCCGGATATGTGTTAATTTTTCTCTGGCTTTTTTGGCTGATTAAAGAATTTTGAAAATAGACTCTGTTCTCACAGTCTCCCCCATCAGCGTCTGGATCTCCAACTTCGGAGATGCAGACGTGGCCGTGGGACCCCTTAACTTGACCAACGTTATCTGTAGTGTTGGTATTTTTATTCCTTGGATCTTTATTCCTCGTTGTTTGATTGATTGTTTCCATTACTGTTTGGTTTTTCAAAACTGTAACTTTCGGTGTAATTATTTAATATTAATATGGAAGATGATGAATTTTCTCTCTAGGCCGAGTCGTATTGCTTTGGCCCGCACACGGGATCGTGCTTTTTAATGAAGGAATCGGGACCCGGATTACGGGTGGTTGGTTCTTGAATGAATTTGGTTTCGATCACTGAATACGAGTTGTAACTTGAATTTTTTTTTACCTAAGCAGATTGAAGCATCGTGGTCCCGACTGGAGCGGGCTGTACCAGCATGGAGACTGCTATCTGGCCCATCAACGGCTGGCGGTCATCGATCCAGCTTCCGGCGATCAGCCTCTGAGCAACGAGGACGAGACGGTCGTTGTCACTGTACGTTAAGCTTACTGTTGCGCATAATTATGGCTTAGGAATAGACACGGTGCATGCTTCCAAATTTCTACCCTTTGAAGGAAATGTCCTAGACAAAATCAGTACTTTCATCACGACACCGGCGGTCGAACTCGATTTTTGGAATTACGGTCGCATTCTTTCTCTGGCTTTGCTAAAACCAAATATTTTCGATCTCAAATTCAGGTGAATGGAGAAATATACAACCATGAAAAGCTGAGGAAGCTCTTGCCTAACCACAAATTCAGAACTGGTAGCGATTGTGACGTAATTGCACATCTGGTGAGCCCCTTGGCAAACTTTCACTTCCTTTATCTTTTTTCCTAGAAAAGTAAGCTGTTATTTAATCTTTACCAGATATCTCCTTATCACTTAATTGTCTATGTTACCACGTTTAAATGTTGACTTATCCCTTTACCTAATTTTAAGGCTTTAAGAGCAGTTACCGGTGGTTGCACGAAACTCTTAGCCTAAAATTTTGTTTAACTTGATAGTTGAATATCTTAGCAGCCCCTAGTTTGATTCAATGTAATGCAATAACAGACCTAAAAAATTACCCTTTTTACTCTTTATTGCCTCTGATAGTATGAAGAATATGGGGAGGATTTTGTGGACATGCTAGACGGAATGTTCTCCTTTGTGCTGTTGGATAGGCGAGACAACAGCTTTATCGTTGCCCGTGATGCTATCGGGATCACTTCCCTCTATATCGGATGGGGACTCGACGGTAACACCTCATAGAGAGACCTTGCGATTTAGAAACGAGTAACAAAGCTTTCTAGAAATCTAAGTATGGTTAACATTTCTTTTGCTGTTCACTTTCAGGCTCGGTCTGGATATCATCAGAACTGAAAGGTCTGCATGACGATTGCGAGCACTTTGAGTGCTTTCCACCCGGTCATCTGTACTCAAGCAAGCAAGGAGGATTTAGGAGGTGGTATAATCCACCTTGGTTCTCAGAGGCAATCCCCTCGGTTCCTTATGATCCTCTTGTTCTCAGGCGTGCTTTTGAACATGTAAGTGATGTATTCTTTGTTCCTATCATCCAAATTGGAGATTTTGACGGGAGACCTAATCTGTGAGTGAATTCATAGGCTGTGATCAAAAGACTGATGACTGATGTACCCTTTGGAGTTTTGCTTTCTGGAGGCCTAGATTCTTCACTCGTTGCCTCTGTCACTTCACGTCATTTGGCAAGCACGAAAGCTGCCAAGCAATGGGGGGCACAACTTCATTCATTCTGTGTTGGTCTGGAGGTATTTCACAGATTATTATATCACGGAGATCAAAAATTGAGTAGATGCTTTTCTAGATGTTGTAAGTGCTTCAATCTGTTGAGCAGGGTTCACCCGATCTAAAGGCCGCAAAGGAAGTTGCGGATTATTTGGGCACAGTCCACCATGAATTTCACTTTACTGTGCAGGTACTTGCGCTAAACCTTGAATCCATTTCTATTTTTTTTCTTTTTGTTTTCTTTTTAAATTTCTTGACATGGTTGGATAATATCTTCACAACCTGAGATTTCCTCTGTATGACCTCCGACAGGATGGTATTGATGCCATCGAAGATGTTATATACCACATCGAGACATATGACGTGACGACAATTAGAGCAAGCACCCCTATGTTTCTAATGTCTCGTAAGATCAAGTCTCTTGGTGTGAAGATGGTGCTTTCTGGTGAAGGAGCTGATGAGATCTTTGGTGGATATCTATATTTCCACAAGGCACCCAACAAAGAAGAATTTCATCGTGAAACATGTCGCAAGGTGACAAAAAGTTTAATTAGAAAATCCTTGTCTATGTAAGTTTCGAGGAAAAGAATAGATAATTATACATGTTTTAATTGTCTGCAGATCAAAGCCCTCCACCAATATGATTGCTTGAGAGCCAACAAAGCTACTTCTGCGTGGGGTTTGGAAGCCCGTGTTCCCTTCTTGGATAAAGAGTTCATCAATGTTGCGATGTCAATCGACCCTAAATGGAAAATGGTAAATGACAATCCCATCAATCATGTTACTGTGGTTCTTGTCCGTATTGTTCTTGAGAATCAGTTGCGCACCGAGAGATTGTGATTGGAACACATATGCAGGTGAAACCTGAAGAAGGACGTATAGAGAAATGGGTGCTTAGGAAGGCCTTCGATGATGAGGAGCATCCATACTTGCCAAAGGTTTGAAAACTGTAGTCTGAAATTTGTTTCTACAAAATCTGTTAATGTCTTTGGACCCTTCAGTTGATGTGTTCCATATGATGCTCTGCAGCATATACTGTATAGGCAGAAAGAACAGTTTAGCGATGGTGTCGGCTACAGTTGGATAGATGGCCTTAAAGAACATGCGGCCCAACATGTATGTCTCTTCCAGCTAGTTTTGCAATGATTTTCTCTCTTCTCGACCTTTTCCCCATATTCAACATTGTATAGGATCACATTCAACTACTTACGATCGCCCACTTGATATTTTTGTCAGGTCACCGATAAAATGATGCAGAATGCTTCACATATCTACCCGCATAACACTCCCACAACAAAGGAAGGCTACTACTATAGGATGATTTTCGAGAGGTTCTTCCCACAGGTGTGCTTTCTGAACTTTCTTAAGTTCACTCATAAGCAGCTAGCCAGTCCATATTAGCTAATGTTGGCGAGATCATGTTTTTTTGATCATGCAGAACTCAGCAAGATTGTCTGTTCCCGGAGGGCCGACTATAGCATGCAGCACTGCAAAGGCTATAGAGTGGGACGCCGCGTGGTCGAATAACCTTGATCCTTCTGGCAGGGCTGCACTCGGGGTTCACCTTTCAGCTTATGACAAGCATGTGGCTGCCGTTAATACTGGAATGGTGCCATCGGAAATCGGAGGGGATGTTATGAGTATGATGGAAGTTACTGCTCCTGGACTCGCAATCCAGAGCTAGTATTTGCTTTCTACGGACGGCAGTCCTGCGTTAGCTTCATTTTGCAAAGCTTTGCTAGTCAAATCACGTCAGCATTGTGTGAATAGTTGTGTTCTAGTTCGGATTCAATGTAATAGAATTCGGTACGTGTTATATTCTCTAGCTTCTTCACGTTAGTTTCAAAATACTGTTAAGTTTGCTTTAAGCAAGAAATGACTTGTGTCATGGTATGGTCAAAGCTTGTATTTGAACTTCAGTATAAACTATATGGTTCCTGTTTACCCCGACTAGCTCACCAAATTATTTTTTCTTTTCGGCTAACCGTGTTCTTCCCCTCCTGAACATGTAGTTTTGCATAATGATTCCGCTCTTAAGTTTTGCTTTCCAATCTTCTGTGATTTTTCCTATATATATGTTTACTATTAACCAAGGATAAGAGAAGAGAAACTAGTTTCAGCTTGTAAATTCGAGTCCTACCAAAACCAACAAGCTGAAGACTCGCACCATGAAATTGTGGAACAGACAATATAATTCTTTCATCATAAAAAGGAAAATCTGCCAAAGATCCAACATAAACTAACTAGATAAAGGAAAATCTGACACTACAATTTTTTTTTCCAACCAAAAAAAAAAAAAACTAGGTAGATGCTAGTTAACTAGGTAGATGCTTTCGACCAAAAAAATACAAAAAACAAAAAACTAGGTAGATGCTAAGTAGAAATGAGTCGGCGCACTTCTCAGCAAAAACAGCTAAAACAATATAAGCTCTTAGCCTTCTTTACATGACAAAGGAGACATTTTCATCTTCGCACTCCCCCATAGAATTGTAGGCAGAGGCAGAGAGAAGTAAATTGTTACAATTGCCAATTAGTGGACATCATAACAACAGAAAAATTAGTAAAACAAAGCCGTATAAAAAAGTTGGTTCCAAGTATCAGGCAAGCCGGGAAGGCACCAATGGCTGCAATCAGCATAACGATCGGGGTGAGCCCTTTGCGCTTGACTCAGTTCGCCGCTGTAGATAGAAGGGTGTCCATCTTTTCGCAAAGCCGAGAGCATTGTTATGTCGAGAAGATATGCAGGGTTATGCATGTCTTTAAGTACTTCATCTATGACTCTCATCTGCTCTAGGTATTCACCTGGATATGCAGTTCCGCTCATAGGCACTGTCTCGCCATAACAGTTTTTGGTGGTTGTGATGGCTGTTGCTCCAGCGCTCCATTCAGCCGGGCTGTACATGTCATGCGGTCACTTGAGTCAATCATGTGTCTTACTCAAAGAAAATCTCAGTGTTCTTGTTTAGTTTTTGAACTAAGTTGATCTAAAGCCATCTCTTGGAGATAAGAGCAGTGTAGGCAAGAGTTACCTATATTCCTTCAAACACTAGCTAAGAAACACCGATTGCAAAAGGCACAAAAAGTAATGCAGGTCTGTCAAAAACATATATTTCTTCAGTGCAGGACTCTGCTGATGAGTCCACTGATTCTTATGCTAAAATTTTAGGTTAAAAAGCTCTATAATTGGCAGCAATCGATTGCTAATTTTTTAAGAAAAGAAACAGCTAAAAGGAGCTAGACAGATGTTCATGTTTTGCCAGTCACTTTTCCAGTTGGAATTTTTCATATCAAGATGGAGGAAGCTGGCCTTCAACCTTACCATGAATGAGTTTAATTCCTCACACTCACCAACATTTTTAAAGTACAATAAACCTCAAAATTAACGAGTTAGGTATGCAAACTCCGAAAGTTGATGAGCCGACTTATGTTAGGCAACAGATTATAGACTTATAGAAACGGGGAATGAGGGCTAGCCTTTTAGGACACAGACAAGCCTAATACAAGCTCATGCTCAACCAGCATAGCTTCCACTCACATCACTCCAATATCCAATAAGTTTTTCTAATGCTAGAAGCTATACTTTCTTCTCGGGTTATAAATAATGAGCTTAGAAGAGTTGCCCAGATTTTTGGACCCTTTCTTTTGCTTGCACATGCAGAGAACTGCTATTTCTTAAACAGAATGCCAAAACAAGAATTCCAGAAAACATAATAGATATACAGTTTTTGTACTTAGTAGTCACGCTCATGATCAGTAGACAGATGTTTGTCTTCCACACATGCTTGTACAACGAATTATCAACAATTGAGATGTTCTTTGCTAATTCCTTTTTTGGCATCAATTGCATAAGAACCAGTGGAATGGGTTATTCACCCACCGTATACAGAGAGAGAGAGAGAGAGAGAGAGAGAGAGAGAGAGAGAGAGAGAGAGAGTTACTTGTAGTGAGTGGGGGAGATGGCGAGAAAGAAGAGGCTGGTTCGAGTGCGGTCGACATTGGCATCAACCCACTTGGCCCATGTTCGAAGCGCTCTCTCCATGGCCACCCCACGATCCATGTCTTGGTAGTACGTTCCCCCTGATTCCATGACATCCCACCTGGGCCCATCCACCATTTCCAATCCCAGTCATTACTTAGTCCAATATAATCCATCCCCAAAAATTCTCCAGTCTTGCAACAATTCTAAAACAATGCACAATCATGAAACGGAAAAAGGGGAAGGGAAGAAGTTGCTTTTGCCTACTCTTGGAGAGATCCTGTATGGCTCCACCAGTGACCCGTGTTGAACGACAACACATCCGCCTCCCGCCAGGCGTTGCCGTTGCCGGAGATGTCGTCGAGCCGTAGAACTCTCCGCCCTTGCACCACGTCTATGTCCACTAAGTACCGGGCTTTGTAGAACGATATGGTCACGCCATAGTCCTGCCTTGTCGTTACCCCAAACTCCAATTAATAAAGTTGCACAAACTTTCTCACCAAACATGACATACAAGGGCGAAAAGCCAAAAAACATACTACTGCTAATAATAATAGTATTAGTAAAAGATCAAATCTTGATTTCCGAGGGAGGTTTTACTGTCAGGGTTCAGTCTTATGTATTGCAGCTGGCAACAACTGCTCTGAAAAGTGATGACCCCCAACGCAGCCTTTTGGGTCCCATGCGAGACATTTTATTTTGAAATGATTCATTGGACGAGATTGAACAATCCCATTTTCCGTTTTTCCCCAAGACCCTTCTGATTTTTCCAAACTAAAAGTGCAAATAAAGAATAAATCTTCAGATATGGGTCGGATGGAAATGGAAATGCAGGCGAGATCAGATTGAGGGACATTACCAAGAACTTGAGAGTAGAGAGAGGATCACCTCTGGCCATCTGCGTGGACGTCTGGGGAGCATCGGCATGGATCAGACAGACCAAAGACTCCCATTGATTCTTGCCCAGCGAGTCGCCCACAAACATCACACTCTTCCCTTTCATTCTCTCCAAGAACTCAACCCCGCTGAACCTTCACACATCTCAAACCAGACCCTCCATTCACTGACCACAGACAAGAGATCCAAAAAGAGAAAGGGAAACAATACGGGAAAGTGGTGAATGAAGTACCTAGGCAGCTCACAGTTGAGAGGCTTCCACCGGTACTTGAGATAGCCCGAGTCGGGCCGGCCGTACATCTGGCAGTTGAACTCCGGGTCGATGAATGGGCAGGTGTATTGGTAGAGCGGGAGCGAGTCGTCGCGGACCCATGCGCCGGAGAAGATCGGGCACGTGGTCTGGTTGGCCCGGAGCGTGGGGGCTCGGCTGTGGTGAGTGGTGCGCTGGTTCTTCAAGCTCATTATGATAGCCGGAGAAGACGTTCGCCATTGAAGCGAGACCAGAAGCAGGCGGAGGAGGAGGAGGAAAAGAGGAAGAAGAAGACGATGGGCTAACGAACAGGGAAGGGTCATTTCGGAAAATAACTCCCTGGACAGAGAAGGGAAAAAGCCTGAGAGAGAGAGAGAGAGAGAGAGAGAGAGTGGTGTTGCAGAAGAAAGAGGCTTGGGTGGCAGCAACCAAGGGGGTTAAAAAGGACAAGAAGTGATGGAATCTCGTCCGATCCCACTGTTGCTAACTTTAAATTCGTCAGTCACATATATAGAACCGATGAAAGAGGTTGCTTTGAGCGATACTTAATGAAACAATTTCATTATTCTTTTCGAGGCGCAACGAGGTTGGTTCATTTGCTTTTCTTAATGTGGTGCAATTGGATTTCGGATTTGGCAGGGGAAGGGTTCAAGGGGTTGGAACCCAATGGTTTTGACTTGGACTACTGTCGGACCCTTCAAAATACATGAGCCGGACAAATCTCCATTAAAAAAAATTAAAAAAGAATCATCCAGTTTTTCAGGGGAATTTTGGAGGGGGGAAAATCTTGGCTTGGTTTCTTTAGGGTGAATTCCCTAAAAAAGCCCAAACTTTAGGTAAAATCCTAAATCTGTCACGAACTCTTTTTTTTATGTCAGAAAAAATTTTAAACTTTAGGTCTAGTTCCAAATCTACCATGAACATTTTTTTGTCTCAGAAAAAAATCCCAAACTTTAAGTCCAGTCTCAAATCTACCCCGAATTTTATTTTATGTAAAAAAAAAATCAGCAAATTTCAATTTATTTTCAAAAATATACCCCGGTATTTTAGTCCCAACTTGACGTGGCACTTCCACGTCATAACAAATCCACATCAGTAAAGTAATGAGGTGATATATACATACCGACGTTGCATTTCCACTTCAACAACAAATCAAACCAAATAAAAATTGTTGAAATTCTCCAAAATAAAACCATTCTAGGATATGAAAGTTAGGGACGATAACAAATCCATCCCAATTTTTTTCTTAATTTGAAAAGAAAACTAATTTTTAGGTTTAGTCCAAATATGCTCTGAAATTTTCTTTATCTAAAAAAAAGCCCCATTACTTTATTGATGTGGATTTATTATCGACGTGGAAGTGCCACGTCAAGTTAGGGCTGGATCACCGGGATATATTTTTGAAATAAATTGAATTTTGGTGATTTTTTTACATAAAACAAAATTCGGGGCAGATTTGGGACTGGACTTAAAATTTGGGGTTTTTTCTAAGACAAAAAAAAGTTTGGGGCATATTTGGCACCGAACCTAAAGTTTGGGGTTTTTTCTGAGATATAAAAAATTCGGGGCAGATTTGGGACTTGACCTAAAATTGGGGATTTTTCAGGGAATTATGCCGATTTCTTTATGCATATAAACGAGGGATCTTTTCATATCTACATTTGTATAGAGAGAGTTCACTATTGTTCTTGGGTGTATATCGAATTCTAAAAGCGAGTCTTGTCAAATGTTTAGATATTTCCTGTTTAGGATTAGTACCATAAAAAACTTCAAACCGGTACACCCATGATAAATTTACCATAAATTAAATTTTTGACCACCACAACCCCCAAACCGGTACATCTATGATAAATTTACCATCCGTTAGTTTTTGTTAAATTTTACCATCAAATTACCGAATTAGATGATACGTAACGGTTGATAGTGTACAATTTTGGGATTTTATCTTCTATTTGTCACAGGTGTACCGGTTTGTGAATTTTTGTTGTATTAATCTAATTTAATGGAAACTAACGGAGGGTAAATTTGTCACGGGTGTACCGGTTTGGGGTTTTTGATGATCAAAAAATTACTTTGGGGTAAATTTATCACAGGTACGTCAATTTGGGGTTTTCGTGATATTAACCCTTTTGTGAATGATGTTTCCATATGAATGTTAGGATTGACATGAACCTAGTAGCTTAGTCGGTCTCTAATTTATCCAAATTAAGTTGTAAGATTTCGCAAAGTGGGGCTTTCCTAATGGCCCGGAGCCGTGCTTTCGATGCGGGATTGGGGACGAATGCCGAGAGTCGTGAGTCTCGTAGATTCGCATCCATGTTCTCCCTGGCACTAGAGAAAAGATTACTTGATGCTCGGGAAAAAAAGGTTAGGATTTTGAACTTTCTGTCCAAGGCGAAAAGGCACGTCTGGACCAAATGTTCTTTGCCTTTTCTTCACAAACATGCATAGCGTAAGTTATTCTTCATATAAGCATACGAGCAAACCCATCCTTGAGAAAAAAGGAGTCCCATTTAATACTCGACTGAGAAATTCATAACCTGGAAATCTTTCCGCAAGTGAAGCATATCCTTATTCCTTGCGGAACACCAGATGGCTTCGTGTCTAGTTCATGCTATAAAAGGTTGAGATTGAGCTTTAGATTCTGCACTCATCGAGAAGAAAACACGGAACCACTTCTGCCCAGATTCATGAGCCACTTCGTGTCAGCTATATCATAAACAATGTGCAGCTTCATGAACAAGCTGAGAGAAGGGAAACGAGCATTTGAACTAAGAATCTCCAGCAATTTAATGGGCAAGGAAGGCGGGTGTTCAGAAAACTATACTGTCCGTGAAGGATTAGAGGATTGCGCGCTTCAACTCAGATTAAATAAAAAACCGCAGCTCAATAGGTGAGGATGGTCGGTCAAAACAATGTAACACAGAGAAAAGGCAGTAATCAATGCTCATACTCTTTACACCGCATCGAATGTGAAAAATGAAACCTCCACCCTTCAAACCCAATAGAAAAAGAAGCAAACAACAGACTTCTGGGCTATGAGTTATACATAGGAATGACTAATGAAAGTAATCCCTCAACATCTATCTGTCGTTCCTGTTGAAAAAGGATGGCACTTTCTGCGCCAAAATTTGTATCCTCTCCACTCATCGTTTTTATCTTCACACTGAATCAATCAACAGGATAAACAATTTAACCGAGTCCCAGCTGACTTCAGCTTCTGCTTTCCAATTTTCTCCTTCTCTGGTAACACTTCAATCCTCCATCACTGTACTCTCCACTTTGTACTCCCAATGTATTCTCATCGGACAGTTTAGAACTGGCTTCAATACCACACTGTTCGCCGTCAAAATTATCCTATAAACATAAAATAAAATACATCAGCCTTTCCGGGCTATTAAGGAAATGATAGAGCTCAGTGAAACTAAAAACAAAACAACATACCAACAACAAAAATTTTTCCCAGCTGGAGCTTTTAGCATGGTCAACAACAGCGACAACAGCACAACTAGAAAAAAATAACAGTTAGAAGCAATAGAAGCGGAGCCACCAATATATATATATATGCATGCAACTTTTAAAAGGTAAGTTCCTAGATGAATAAAACGTTGAAAGAAATCATGGTCCCATATGTCATGCCGATAACAGATAGTTAACCCACTTAGTTAAAAGAATACACACTTAACAGGATTTGTTACCGGTGTCTCCAACACTAATCTTTGTCACTAGCTAAGAGTTTGTAAAAAGAACTCTACTCAGGCATTATATTTTTTCCTTCAAACTTCTATAGACTGCAGGGCAATCGGAAGAAAGTGATAATCTGACCTGATGGCTTAATAACTGAGTGAGGGTTAACTATGTATTGCTGTATGACATCTGGGAAAAACAGTATGTGCCTCAAGTGTACCTTTACCATTGATTAAAGATCCTTTACAAAATGCAAAACTATTTCTGCTGAGGACATCTCATTCGGAGAATGATAATTAAGATGAAGTAAGTGGAGTTATCACCACCTTTCACCCCAAGATGGTGATGACTCTTCAAAAAGAAAAAAAAGCTAAAAAGAATCTTACTTATGTCACACCTACGGAATTGTATCAAGCAGGATTCTGTATCACAATTCAAGCATGAAAGTCACAAATGATCTCTATGTTCTTAAGCAGTTCATCGATGTACAAGTCTCCATACATTTTGTACAACTTTGGCTTCCTTTGAGGGAGTACTCACTCATTGTGGTTTAGTCAAGAGAGATTCCACCATACTACTCGTTCACATCCTACTATACAAGTTTTCGTGGTTACGCATAATGCTTTATTTCATTAGTACAAGGACTTCACTAATAGCAGAAAATTACGAGATCATCATCGGATAAAATTTTCGTTACAGATCACAGGATCAAAATCAAGCAGAGCAAGGAAAAGCCTCAGCAAATCGACACCTAGAACTAGTCTATTGCAATCTACTGAATGCAGTCATAAACAAGTCACACCTCACACTGCATACAACTACACATCTATATTAAAATGCTAGTTCCTTTCTCTTCCATCTCATGTTGCACAGGGATGTGTTGAAGGATAAAACATTGCATCAAATTCACTTCTACTGGGAATTGCCCGGTTGAAATCTCCAAGTAATATCGTTGACAATTGATGAGGTAATCAAATATCAACCAAAATAAAGAGAAGAGAACTTCTGTTATTACTTGACATCCAGCACACATCAACTTTCAGTGCTTACTCAGCATCAAGTGGCCTCATTCACCTTTTTTTATATGAGAATATACAAATATAAATACGGCACCTTCAAAAGCCCAAGCAAGATCACCTTTAATAGAACACTTCAAGATTTTCATTCCTTTCTTCCTCCTCTTGATGCGATGGAAAGTGTCTTCCTAATTTACAACCAAGGATTCCAAATTTTACTAGATGGACAAATAGAGCATGAGTATTTATCTGCATCATTAGTCCTGGAAAGGTTAATCTATTGTCTTTGTTGTCGTAATCATGCATCAATAATTTAGGTTTAGACTATCTGTTAAAGTCAGATTACATGTTACCTTCATCATAATGTCTAACTGCTGCTGATGAACTTGCCTTAGAACTGTGGGCTGGTGCACATGCTTTAACCGGTCATTTACAAGGCACCAAAATACCGACTTTATATTTTTTTTCCCTTTTTTATCTCATGTCAATCATACTGGTAATTACAGTCTCTTGATTCAGTTTAGCCTTCCAAACTTAGGCCTTGATAACTGACTGTGCCTATTTAGTTATAATATTGTGTGTCATAGTGCATATAACTTCAAGAAACCATGCCAATATTTATAGATGTTTTCCATTTTTTAGATTACAAAGCATTGCGCATTCTTTTTCCTACAGATAAAGCATTTTTCCACAAAAACTTTTGTTTTTCCGTTTGATCCTTGAATCCTTCCAAGTTAGCTCAGTAGCAAAGTGAGAGGTGATGAGTACCTCAACTGGCCTTCAGCGACAGTTTCACTCCCGTCGGTGGTATCTTCTCGAAGAATATCGAAGACAGCACTGGAACCCACCAAATCAACTTCATCAAACTGATGGTTTGCATCATCTTCAAAATTATGCCAGCTCCCTGAAATAAGGTATGGATGATCAAATCACTGGCAGAAGTACGAAATTAACTGCTTTTTATTTGACTGAGATTCCTCAAACCTTACCTCCGGGTAAGTTTGATTCTGCCAATGTGATATCAATTAAACGTTTCTGACACATGACTGTTCCCTGGAAATCCAAGAAGGTGTAACCAAGATATTGTAATCTTTCACTATCTGTCATCTTCTTGAATCCAAACGAAGTGGTCCACGTGTTTAGCACACTAGAAACAGCAGGTAGAACCAGCGTTTCCACTCCTAATTCCTTCAGCTTCTGTAACGAGAAGCATATGGATCAGAACAGCAAATTCAGAAGGTAAGACAGTCAAGTTTCTATTCAGCCACTGAAAGTTCATCACGCTGGGCATCTCTCTTTTCAATTAAATGCTTGTCATAGAAGTTGTCCACTTGCCGAACATCAAAGCCACATTCAAAGTTAAACTAAGCAAAATAGAAATATCATCCAGATACCATCTACGAAGGGAAAAATCCCTGAAATGAAAAACAAACAATCTCATATATAATAGAAAGCCAGCTACACAAAATATATGAGCCTAAGACACATTTTCCAGTTGTCATATAATGACATATCCTTTATCACAACTCTGCAGATTGATTATGATTCATGAAAAGGTCAAGTCTCCTTACTTGCATCTTTCTGAACATGGGTTTTAGGATTTACACCCCTAAAAATTTATCTCGTTAATAGTCCCGCGAAATTGACAAAAGATAACAATAGGATCATAAAACAATTGAATCTTAACTAGTTTGGTTTATCTTGGGAGCCAGACCTCGACAAAATAAACAGAAAAGAAGGTTTACATGGCAGTCTCTTATATTGTTAGGAGACATATATTTTGCATGACAGAGTGACCTGATGTTGTTATTAACAACAGATAATCAACATGATCAATAAACAAACAATTTTAACGTTGAAATAAGATGGGTTGGAAACATCCTATTGAGAACGCACAGCATTAAAAAGAATCTATTTTCCAATCGCAAAGAAAAATGAAGGAAACTCAAACGCACAGGGAATGAAAAAACACAGACAAAATCCTAGAAAGAAAAAGAACCATTACGGAAGAATGAAAACAAAATAGCTTGACGCACAGCTTTAACATGGTGAACTTTAAGAAGTACCTTTTCAAGCTCATCCATTAAAATGCGACACATTCCAAGCCGACGATACTGGAACCTCGTCCCAATCAAAGGCACTTCAGCCACTTTTCCACCGTAGATCCTTTGTTTTGGGAAGAGAGAGAGAGATATTAGAATCATTTTGCGGTATGTAAAAAGTGAAAGTTGAAAGTAAAATGGACTTAAAAGCTGACAAACATTACGGTGTATTGAATGTATACCTTACAGTTGCCACGGTGATCAGCTCATCATCTTTTTCAAGAAGTACTGTATAAAATCCTTGGAAGTTTACACGATTCAACTCTGATCTGTGGAATGGAAAAACACAGGGATTTAAACGTTGGGATATTTATGGATGCTGAAGTAAGGAAGAATGAGGAATGCGTGAAAGGCTCCAAGCACATCCTACGAATGCTCCATATTTGGGGATACGTGTTTTCGACATCATTTGATCCGCATTTTCAACATCATTTTGCTAACATCTTCCCATAAAAAATTTAAGCATAAGATGCAACAGTTAGGAATGACATGTATAAAACAAAAGACTTTGGTTGGAGAAGTAAACTCCAAAAGTATGCTAGAGCACAGAGACTATCATTATGAAAATGAAGAACGACTACGGAGGAAATTAAGATGTTTCACCTCCTGTTGAAAATAAGATCCTCGATGAGATCACTACTAGTGTAAGGCTCTTTAACGGGCTCAAAGCATTCATGCATCACATCGAGAGCAAGGTTTAGCCTGATGTAATTTTCTGCAGCAGCTTCAATATCGAGAAAATTGACACCATTATGATCAGGCTTTACACACTTTAACAATGTCCAGGTCAAGTTATCAGTTCCCAATCTTCTTGGCTTTTCTAAGAGCTCGGACAGACCTACATATACCTGCCATTATAATATAATGCGAAACACAATTTCATGTCAGGCAACCTATATACACAAATTACTATATGATGATGGCAACCCTTTGAAATGAGCACGGAAAAGAAAAATGGAGTAGAGTGATTACTAGTCTAAAAGAAGGGATCAACTATGATTGTAATAATAGCTAGAAAATGTGAAATTGGACATAAGTCCCAAAACTCTTATACGTGTTTGGAAAAACTTTTGGGATTTGAAAAAAAGGAGTTCTGGAAAACTTCTAGGGTTTCTCTACATTCAATTTTCCATTCATAGAGTAAAAAAGTGTCATCAAATAGTAGTTTTCAACAAGAACTTGCCCCTCTAGAGCATTTAACACTTCATTGAGTACTAACATTAAATACTGAATCATCAAGTAAATTAATATTTATTTCCTTTAGCCCCTTGTTACAGGTCAATCGTCTGATTTAAAAGGAAAACAACTATATTCATTCTCAAGATTGGAAACAAATAAATTCTTATTGTCTGATTTAAATCTCATGTGAGAAGTATCGGTACTGAAATTATTTCTAGAAGACGAAGCCACCTGTGCCATCAAGTATCCACCTTAGCAGAGAGCACCGATCTAGTGATTCACTCCTTAAAATACCGGTGGAAACTCAAAAGGAAAAAAAAGAAAAGCAGTTTTACATACCTTTTCACACTCTTTACTACAAAACCAGTTCATCTTATGATCCCTTTCCAAGTTAGTTACCCCTCTGGTCCTCAGGCACCCAATGTGATCTACAGCATTAGATCAAGAAGAAAACACAGCAGTTACAAAAGGATTCAGTATTAAAATAGCAATTATATAGCGCTTATGTACATACATTTACGCTCGCATTGGTCACAACGTAAAACATGGTCATCCACAAAACAACCAGCATCTTCTCTGGACTTGCATTGGTTGCAAATTGCACAGCAACACGAGGGGCAAAACCAGTCCCCATCTGGTACATCCTATAGATGGCAACATAATCAGATGTTACTGTGTTGTCCTTTTAGAAGTTTGCTCGTACATCCAAAACAGACACACATTAATGGAGGCAAAATTGCATAAGCTCGCTGCAAAATAGTTAAAATGATCACGACCAACCTTTAGACCAAGGCAACCCTTATGAAAAGACGATGGGCACCCGTCACATAATATCAATTCACCGCCATAATGACAGACGGAGCATATGTAATCATTTTGGATGTCATGAAGACTACTCTTCCTTGTACTTCTTGTTTGTCTCATGATGCGACTCATGCCTTTAGCATGAAATGCCTGTAGCTGACAGTCTAACAGAGACCTGCCATCTCCCAGAAAAATTGTGGCAGCTGGCTTCATGTTGGTAATGTTGGCACCTCCAGCATGATTAATGAAACCGTTTAAAGTAAAAACATCGCCGCAACAACTGCAATTGATCCCATCACGTCTTAGACGCCCATTACCTAAACTATGCGAATGCGTCCTGCGGTGGTAGAATACCTTTTCTCTTGGTAAAACTACATTGTTGTCCATCAACCAGGACAATATAGTTTTTGGGTGATGCTGTGACAACCGGGGAACCATATGCCGAACTCTCTTTCTCGACACTAGAGTGGGAGATGGCTCACTAGCTTCTAAGTCATCTCCTGACTCGGACAAAGAACCAGAACACCTCGTTGATCCCTCTGTCATAGCATTTGAACTGACTTGCCCTAGACTACTACTAGTTTGAGATTCAGAATGCATTACTAGATCTTTCTTCGTTCGGAATCTTTTACTCCCTTTATAATTGACAACACTGAGGTTGCGAACTTTCCCCAACTCCAATCGGCTAGTATTTTCGTCACGCGACCTTTCAGAAAGGGCGTTTTCCGGCACCAAGGTTTTCTGAATGTCTGGACTGCCTACTAGAGGCGGAAGTTTGTTGCTCGGTGACTCACCTTCCATTTGCTTGCTGTTGTTTGCACTTTGCAGCCCAATATCGTTTATGCAACGTTTGCAGGCCATTCGAAGTGAAAAAAGACAGCTTCCACTGGGCGAAACATACTGCTTCTGATACCTTCCTCCCTTGTACACCCAACGGAATGTCCATCCAACTGCTGAGAGGTGCATCTTGACCTTCACTCTCAGGTCATTTGCAGCATTGTCACGGTAGCTACGACCGCCCTTCTCTTCTTGAAACGTGTAGTAGTCAACAACAGCTTGAGGACAGTAGAGAGGTTGAACGTCAAATACGACAGCAGAATTAGGCCCACAATTGTTCTGATATTGTGAAGGTAAAGACATTGTCAGATCTCTAGGTGAAGTGACCAAACTCTTGTCAGCATCTTCAGATGTTTGTGATAAAATCTCTCCATTCTTCTCCATTACATCCTGGCAGACTCGCAGAAGAGAATAGTAACACTTCCCATGAGGAGACATGTACCTCACCCTGAGCTGACCCCCTTTTCTCGTGCACTGCATTTCCCACCCCAAAGATGAAAGATGTTTTCTAACATCCATTACCAGAGAATCTGAACCATGTCCGCCTTTCTTCACGTAATTATCAACTGCATCGGGGCAGAGCTGAGCTCCTGGAAGCAAATCAGGACCAAGAGGTAGCCAGTTTCCAGAGTTTCTGCAGGTTGAATCGGATAGAGTGTTACTGTTTTGGTTGTAGTTCGTTGTAGAAGAAGCTTTAGCGGTGATTCGCAAACTGTTGCAAGAATTCCTTTCTGGATTAGAGGGTAAAAGGGGTAAAGCCTCAGGTAACACAGAAGGCCCTTTGCTGTCCCAAGACAGATCTTGTTCATCAGAAGGATTCATGATTGGGACACCATGTACCATAAAAGAATCCATTATTTCCAGATCACGCACCTCTTGACCCGGTTTAACACTGAAGCCTGAGCTATGAAATCTGGCAGCAGTTTCATCGACATCATCTACAACGCGATTTACCATGTCGGTCAAATTAGTGTCATGATCAGCTCTTGCCACAACTGATGGCTCATCAACAGGCAGAATAGAACGAGGTCTATCCACATCTCCCTTGGGAAGCATTTCAACGTTCAGAGCCGGTGCTGGTAGCTCGAAAACGGGACAGTCTTCTTCTATCAGGTCACCTGCAGAGTCCAAAAGGGGTAAAACATCCCTTAAGACTATTTCAAGATTTTCATTAATGACTTCAAGCACCAGCTTCTTCCACAGTGATTCATCACGAGAAGTCCAATCCATCATCATGTCAAGACCCCCTTTCTCTCGCAAGTCATACCAAATTTGCTTCACAGAAACAGGGAGGGGCCACTCTTCCTCAAGGGATTCTGTCACCTGAAGAAATGGCCAGAACCCACGAGTCCGCCAATGGTACGTGCTCTCATCCCAATCCTGAGTAATGCGTATGTCCCCAGTTGCGGCAAACTGTTCATCACCTAAATCTGGGAAGAAAACATTTCTTTTTTCTGCGCCATCCTCATGGTCAAAAACGACTCCCTCCCACCAAGCGTTCTTGTAATAAACATCCACGCACCGCCCATAAGGCAGGTCCCATGGACCAAATACCACAACCGGAGGTGAAGGCCTTATATTACCCCGACAACTGTTTTGGTCAACATCGCCAGGATTTAGACCATCAAGGAGCGGCGAAACGCGCAAAACTTCAGTGAGCTTACCGGAGCCATCATCATCCAAAATGCGATTGTACTGAACCTCCCGTATTTCATCCTCGCATCCGATGACCGTTGCCGAGTGCCAAGAACCCAGGAGGCCGTCTTCCTCGCTCCTTACCTGCACAAAAAGTCGACCGAAATTTACTCGTATGGCAAAAAGAAAAGTATTTTCGATCAATCAAAGGGTCCCAAAGAGAATTCCTTGCCCTTCGGAGGACAGAGAACAAACTCGATCACAAGCCCCCATGTGCGCTCCTGGACCTCACATGATATGTAAAAAACTACGGAACAACCACAACAAAGGCGCCGAACAGAGCAAACAGCAACCCATAACGTGGAAAACACGCAGAGCGCAGAACTCAACAAAGCGGCCATCGCGAAACATGCAAATCCTCGTCTACGACAAGAGACCCGATCAAAGAGCAATGCATATCGAAAACCGAAAAGACGGGTGGCACCGCAATCCATCAAACTCCACTTCATCAGGCCCATCGTGAAAAACACGGAAAATCCTTATCTACGACAAGACAAGAGACCCGACGAAAGAGCAAGCAATGCCTATCGAAAAGCCGAAAAAAGAGGGTCGTCGCCGCAACACATCACCTCCACTCTATCGCCGGCGACGAGCTTTCTCCTGGAGTCCGCCCTCCTGCGCTTTCTCCCCGTCCTCCCGCTGCCGCCACCCTGCTGCTCTGCCATCGTCATCGCCATCGACGCGGAGAGGGAACCCGCAGACAATTTGCCTGCCGGGCAGGCGGTGCGAGATCGCCAAGGAGATCTCCCCTCGCTCGCGGCACGACGAAAATCGGTGGCTCGCGAGAATGCCTTGCTCGCCAAGCAAATACGCAACACCCGAAACCCGAAGAGAAACACGCGCGGAGCGAGGGCCGCCTCTCTCAACAACAAAACAGTCGCCGAGACCCAAGAGCGACTGACTGACTGACTGACTGACCCAGTGGCATATTTGACTCTGGTCCCCCTCTCCTCTTGGAGAAATCCGAGCCGTCCGCTCGTGTTTTGGCGACTGGCGGGTACGTGTATCCAGCCGTCAGATATTACCTTCTTCCTTTTTAATTATTTTTTTTCGCCCAAAGTGAAAAGTCATGTTGTCCCAAGAAGGAAAGAATTAGCACTGTTCCGTGGAGAAAAGTGGAGCGGGGAAAATAGCCAGCATTTTTCCGAATTTGACAAAAAGGGTAATTTGACAAGACCAGCCCGTAGTATTATCTTAATTAAAAGATGATGCGACCGCGTCTTAAAAAGGTAAAATTAACGACCCAAGTGAAGCTACTCGCGATCATGGATGCGGGATGACCACATCGGGCTGCGGTTAAATAAGGATTTCGCGGAGACCGCCTATCGGGTTCGGTAATCCCGTTATTTATCTGGATTTGGAAATAGTAAAAGGAGTGTAACTTTAAGATCTTTATTTCCTAAGGGATGAGGTATCTAAGAAGATTATGAAAATAACTTGAATGAGATATCTCGCGATCTCCTTTTCCTCTTTTTTCACTGTCGTGCGTGCCCAGAAGGAACAAGAGATTATCTGCTCATGGTGCGAACTACGATGTGATGTCCAAATGACAATTCATTTCGAAACTTGGGAAAGAGAAAGAGCATTTAATTTGCAATGACTGGAGGAGATTACAATTCCCTTTTAAGTACGTTTGATTTGTTGTCTTTGTCTATTCCACATCATTCCTCGTTGATTTCCTAAATAGACATATTTCTCGCCGACCATGTCATGAGGAGTTTTCACAGATTTAGAGGGAGAGAACAGTCCGAAGAACTCAATGCGGAGGTGAGCATAGTAATTTAATTTTTTAGCTGCTGAACTCAACGTACACGTTCGACCAAAGAAAACAAAAACTCAACGCACATGTCGTCTAACAATGCGGAAACTAACTGATCTTGCAATTTAAATCTAACGTTATGAGAAGAAATTATCGAAGAAATCAACGAGGAATGATGAGGACATCGGAGGTTACGTGATTTGGTCCAAAATTAAACCTACTCGAACATTTACAATCGTCTCATAGATAACTCACTTGGAAAACCTAAAAAGAGAGAACTTTAATACTCGTCTTGTTTGCTTTAGTTTGGAATGATCGATTAAGAATTTCGCTCTTTTAAATGTTCTGAAGTGACATGCCGACCCAAATACTTGCTTTGATGTCAACCCCCAAGTCCTATTTGGACATTGGATTTCCACTTTTATAGATTCAAATTCAAAAAATGATATTGTTTCGTTGAAATTTACTCTTGCGAAGAAATATCTTTCACAAAAAGTCGTTTTTTCTGTTTTTATTAAAAGAAATAGGTTCTGCGCCAACTCCAAACAGAAAATATCTAGGCAAATAGAGAAATCAACAACTTCACTCTAGATGGAACTACACAAATACAAACCATGCCCAAATTTAATAGACGATAAGATCTGGAAGATACAGTTACCACAAACGAACCATACACCAACAAACTTTGTTGGAATTTAATCAATGACAAAGCCTGAGAACGTAAAGATATTACGTCGGATTTTAATTGACGATGCGGATCTAGTAACTATAGCTAAGAAACACGCGAAATTTAATTGACAACGCGAGTTTGGAAAGTAAAGGTACAGCACAGAAGGTAAAGATACTAAAAGACAGTTTGTTTGATTTGTGCGACGGTCCTCTAAAAAATACGATGTGGCTATTTAAAGCCTACAATCGGTGGCTGTCAATGGAGGTTACAAAGGGAAGTTGCAAAGGGAGGTTACAAACGATTACCGAACAATTACATTGACTTTACTTCCTTGACAGTTTCTTCAATTTCATTACTTTGGCGGTTGCTTTATTCCACTACATTGACGGTTATTTCTTTGACGGTTGCATCCGACATTATCGACTTCGCTTTTTGTTGATTCTTTCAAGCTGTCGGTTTATCAAGTTGTCGATGATTCTATTCATAAATGACGAAACTCTGCTCTCATTGATTGAATTTATCATATGTTGATAATGACCAAAAGTTGGTCATTCTTTTGTGCAAATAAACACCCTCTTTAAAAGAATTGAATGATTAATCAATCATATGATTCTTTTATATCAGATAACCAAGAGTCATAATGTGCCCCTTGTCATCGGCAAATTTGATTTTTTCTTGCTGAATTTAATTTTGCTCAAATTCATCATTTTGCTCGTACTTTTCCACGAAATGCACATAATCTGTAGAGTCTTCACGTGGTTCTTTATCTCTGTCCTTAAGTAAATGCTCATACTTAGACATTCTCGTTGCCAATTAGAATAAATTGGCAAAATTTGGCCTTGGATTTTTTTTTTCCGAGATTAAATTTCAATCCACCGAAAGCCAAATTTGTGAATTATTTCTTCGGGAATGAAGTAAGGCATCTATTCCTAGTCCTCTTGAATCAAGTAACAAACTAATCGATTGACTCATTATCGTATTGATAAATTTTGACCAAATCAGCAATTGATACTTCATGTATCGTTCTATAAAATTGAGAATGAAATTGTCTTTCAATCTTAGCCCAAGTATGGATTGAATTAGGAGATAAATTCGTATACCAAGTAAATGCAATTTTTGATAAAGACAAAGGGAATAACCTAAGTCTCAGGAATTCATTTGTTCCTACCTCTCCACATTGGGCAATAAATTGAACAATGTGTTCGACAGTTGACTCATCATCTTCGCCGGTGAAGACAACAAAGTCAGGAATTTTGAATTTTCTTGGGTAAGGTATAGTGTCAACCCAATCAGGATATAACTTCCTATATACTGGCCTGCCCACTCCTCTCTCGGCACTTAATTGTTATAATACAAGTTCAATCACTTGATCATGATTCACAAGTTGACACCTTTCCTACCCTCTAAGTTCAGAGTAGATAGGTCGATAGACTAGACCTTCCTGCCCCCTGCCCCCTAGGTTCAGGATAGATAGGATTTTTCATGCATTTGTAAAATCCTCATTGGTGGTGGGATCACTTAGCCTAAATTATTTCTGCCGTTCAATTGATTAATAGTTGGAGGAACATAGTCGGAAGTCCCGGTATTATGCAAATTACTTACATAGATCGGTATCGTTTCACTGATCTGGGTCGTACCAACAGTTTCAGCCCTATACAAAATCTTAGAAGGTGCAGGATTGGTAGGACTCGCTTGAATTTGAAATGAATAGCTCGGCGTTCTTGGCCTGTGCATGACTTCATGGAAGGTGTTAACGATCATGGGCTTGATCACGTCGATGAGGTATTTCATCACGCGATTCGTCATTTCCTTCTGGTGTTCGTAAAAAATCCTCCTCGCTGTGGCCAACATGAAAGAAATGGGTCCAACTGGCTTCTCAATTCATCGGTGAGTTGTTTTGGAATGTCGACATCTCCACCTTGTTCTTGTGTTGCCACCGGCTATGCAATCAATGACTCAAAACGTCCTACTCTGTTATTGCCAAGTTGCGGTGATGAGTTGTTAGTGATAGCATTGTTAGGATTGAGTTGATTCTTAGTACGCACCGTCGCATGTCCTCAAATCAATCACACTGGTTCCATTGGGTGTGCCAAAAAGATGTTTTGCCAGAATTTACTCCTGCGACGAAATATCTTTGACCGAAAAATCGAAAGTTGTTTTTTGGTTTTTATTAAAAAAGAAATCGGTTCTACACCAACTCCAGAAGGAAATATCCAAGCAAATATAGAAATCGACAACTTCACTCTAGATAGAACTATATGAACGGAAATCGTGCCGGAATTTAATCGACGACAAGGTCTGGAAGGTACAGTAAGCAAAAATGAACCAAACGTCAACAAATTCTACCGAAATTTAATTAAAGACAAAATCTGAGAACGTAAAGATATTACGCTGGAATTTAATCGACGACCTGAGTAGGGGTGATCGGTTCTAGGGTGGGTCGGTTCCAGACCTGGAACCTGAAACCGACCCTGTTATAACCAGTTCCTAGTTTTTGGAACCTGGAACCTACCCTGTTTGCCCTAGACCCTGTTTTGAAACCTACCCTGTTTTTTCGGTTCGGTTCTAGGGTCTACCCGAGAACCTTTTTTTTTTGTTCCTTTTTTTGGTTTCATTTTTTCCAAGTAGTAAATAGGAAAACTTATAACTCAAATCAAAGGTTATAAGTTTGATTGTGAAAACAATCTTAAGTATTCATACAAAAGCAGATTAGCTTAGTCCTAATAATTTAATGGTCGTGATAAAACAACACAGGTTCCAATTGGATATTTAGCTTCTTTGTTACAGAACAAAAATTTTAAGAAAAAGGAAATTGCTCCTTATAATGCTTACAAGCCCTTGAGTTAGACTATCTGCAAATAATGATCACTTCCCTCATCCTTCATGATATAATGGTTTAAATTCTGGCCATATAAAATTGGGCAAAAGAACACTACAAGTGCCATAACTTGTGTACGGCGCTCACTTTGGTGCCATAAGTTTTTTTGGATCACTTTAGTGCTAAAATTTTTGAAAAACGATCACTTAAGTGCCAATTCCGGTGCCGTACACAATTTTTCGCTGGAAATCCGACGTGGCACTTTTTTTTATTAATTTCGAAGCCGACGTGGCTCGCCGGAGATTGGCACTTAATTGATCGTTTTTCAAAAATTTTAGCACTTAAGTGATCGTTTTTCAAAATTTTAGCACAAGTGATCCAAAAAACTTATAACACTTAAGTGATCGTTTTCCCCGACTTGGCACCAAAGTGATCCGAAAAAAAGTTATGGCACCAAAGTGATCTCCGTACACAAGTTATGGCACTTATAGTGTCCTTTTGCCTATAAAATTGCAAATAGACTTTCATATAAAACCAGTTCTAAAATCGGTCCGGGTGGGTTTTCACTTGGAATAGGAAACCGGACCAGTTCTAACCGGTTCTTAAAAAATGAAACTAGTTCCCGGACC